CCACCCCCACGCCAGCCCTGCCCTGGTTACCTCGGCCCAGGGCCCGGCGCTCCACGCGGGTGGGCAGCTCTGAGTGTGGCAGGCCTGGCGGCTGGAGGGCACGGGCTGAGGACACAGGCTGGCCGAGACCCGCTCCGATTTGTAGTGCGCGCGCCGCGAGCACTGGACGGGACGGCTCTGCGTGCCCCCGCCGCACGTCCGGCTGCAGGCGCTCCAGTTCCCCACGGACCAACTGGGGGGCGATAGAGAGACCTCCGGTGAGGGACAATGCCACCTCCCCGGAGCGGAGGGCCACGTCTGTTGGGGGTGATGGGCATCGGCCAGCATCGTATCCCACTTACTGTCTGCAGTTATTTCCAGGGTCCCAGCGGCCCCCCCCCAGCCCCTGCTGCTTCTCAAGCCCCTGATTAGCATTCCTGATTGTCATGTGTCCCCTCCCCTGGCTTTCAGGGTCATCTGTCCTTGGAAATAACTCCCCTCAACCCAGTGTGTCTGTCTCCTCTCTTTTTTCTAAAGGGAAAATTTCAAACATAGACAAAAATAAAGGCGCTCCCAGTCCCCATCCACCTGACTTCAAAAACTATCAGTTCATGACCCTCCCATCCCTTCAGTATTTTGAAGCAAATTCTAGACATGTTAATATTTCAGTACACACCTCTAGGAGATAAAGATTCTGCGGTTTTTCAGGAGAACTACAATGCCGTCATGGCATCAACACCTTAATGATCATCCGTTATTGTTCAGTATCCGATGTTCCACTCCCAACTGCATCATCAACGTCTCTATTCTTCCGCTGTTTATTTGTCACGGAAAAACCGACCCCTGACTGCGTCTCCACGGCCTGTTTTGCCGATTTCAGGACTTCGCAAGTTACATCTCCGTGCTGGGAGCGCTTAACACGCTCCTTTGTCCTCTGCACTTCCTGTAACTTAGTGTTTGGACCCAAAGGGTTTGTCAGATTCAGGTTTTTGTTTTTTGTGACAACTTCAAAAGTGATGACTTCCAGTAGGAGGCTCATAA